ATAATCAGATTTTAGACGAACTTGCACCTGAGGTGATTGTTATATAAATTATATAAATATTGTTATATAAATATTCAATGTATCTCGATAACATCACGCATTTCGTACCGTTATTTTTTTCCAGTCTTCTTTTTTTCTTGTGTGTAAACGCCTCAAATTTGATGGACTACCTACGTATATACCAAGAGCCCTGATCCTGCTCGTATTTACTACACTTCCCTCATAAAAAAGGATAAATTTGATCAATATCTTTCTTTTCCGGTAAACATTAGAATGACTGATATAATACTGCTAACAGATCGGTCAGGGAACGATAAAACTCTTTTATTTGTTATGGCAGCGGGATACTAACCTTGAGGACTGCGTGGAAAAGCCAATGGGCGGAGTTACTGCGCCGGGATCTTATATAACCCAGCGGAGCAATCTTAAGTTAGTCTTGTCAACATGAAACAGTTCTTGTGCCTCTCCCTCTGTCTGCTGGCTCTCTGCCTCGTTGGGTAAGATGAGAAACTTTTGTGTTTTGCTTTGACTATACATGTTTCTTGATTTTGAAATATATATAGGAAAGTATTCCACTACTCAACAATGACTAAAGTGTCATGTCAACAAACTGATTTCCATATTCTGGGTCGCTAGCGTGACGGGAGGTGCATTCCGGGCGAGGGATGCACGGCCGAGGTGACAGCTGGCTTGGACTGCGAGTTCGGATTCGTGACGGACCGCTGCAACAGGTGTGAATGCGCCAAGGTTAGTGATGATCTTTTTGTAACAGGATTTAAAACATCCACACACGCACACGCACACAGACACAAATACACTCACACATACACACATCCACACGCACAACACACACACAACATATAACATATACACATATTTTACATATCATTTTAATGATTATTATGAACATCATAACCAAGGTATTGATCCTGCGCATACCTATATCGTTATGACAATCATCATTATCATTATCATTATTTCTCATTCGTATCATCCTCAACATTAATTATCCTTATTTCTCATTCGTATCATCCTCCTCAACATAAATTATCCTTATTTTTCATCCGTATCATCATCCTCAACATTAATTATCCTTACTTTAATATCCTCATTCCAAAACGCCATCTTGTCTTAACCCCCCCCCTCCCTCTCTCCTCCCAGGGGCTCGGCGAAGTGTGCGGCGGAACGTGGGACTTCTCTGGCATCTGCGCCAAAGGTCTCGAGTGCGACAAGGATGGCGAATTCTCTGAAGGCGTGTGTGTCAAGGCAGCTCGGCGATAAAGAGGATGAAGGAGAAAAAGAACGGAAATCAAGATGAAGAGAAGCGAAAGGCAGCGGAAAGAAGAAGTGAGTTGAAAATTTTGGGTATATATATATTATATACATAACATTGACAATAGTAAAGGAAAGATATTTGAACTTAGTTTTTTTAAACCCATAACCTTATAATTCATTTTGCGCTCGTAACTCAGATTGTTTATATCAAATTAGTGTAATCACAGAAAACTAAAACGAACAACTAATCATAGAAAACGTGAAAATTACATGGGAGACTACTTTTTTCTAGACGCTCTCCGCATTAAACAGAAATAAAATGTAACAGTCCATCAGCATGAGAACCCAGAAAATTAAATTTCGTCAGCAACCTTACAGAAAAGGTTGACAAGATGGAGTAGTGGGAGAGACCTTCTGGAATACCCTAGGTGATGTGGTCCCAAATTGATTTTAATTACAAACTATGTGTCCTAAATTGTGGAACCACATATATAATCAGAAAATAAAGTTATATTACAGTGCCTATCCGCACATATTCAGAAATATTAAGTTTGCAAACCTGCTGTATATGCCATCACGATTATTGGCAACCAATGTGTCCATTTCACACACACACACACACACACACACACACACACACACACACACACACACACACACAGTATATATATATATATATATATATATATATATATATATATATAATATATATATATATATATATATATATATATATCATGCTACGATACAAGTTACTGATAATCTCTCTTTCTCTCTTCCTCAATTTTCCTCTTGTCTTTCTCTTCGTTTAAGTACCACAAGGGCAACATGAACGCGTGAGAATACCTTTTAGTTCATCTCTGTCTATCCGTCTGTCTGTCTGTCTCTCTCTCTCTCTCTCTTCGTGGATATACTTTAATTGAAATATCATTCTGAACCAATAACAATTGCTCACAATACTCTCGTATCTCATCGAATTATAAACAAAAATCATAGAAAAACACGCCTGGAGAACTACACACGATGACTGAACGGGTTTCCTTTACCGTATGTGGAGAGGTATTCCTGCCAAGTCGCAGTGGCGGGCATCGCGAAAGAGACAGCACAGCAGCATTCGTGTCTCGATTGTCTCTTCGTGTCTGTTGTCTAAGACCTTTGTATTTTCGTGTCTGCTGTCTAAGACCATTGTCTCTTCGTGTCTATTGCCTAAGAACTTTGTATTTTC